GACCCCAGATGGAGAACTCTTGCTCCCTGGCTCACGTCCCCAGGGCGGCGGCGGCGGAAGTGCCGACAGAAGAAAAGCACATACCTGTTCTCGGGGTGCTCCTCCGGGGGCGCTCCTCCAGGTCTCCAGGCTGCAGATGCCTGGGGCCTGGCCTCCCAGCGGAGGTGCTGCCGAAGCTCTGACTTCACCTGGAACGGAGCAACTCCTTGCAAGACCCAGGGAGAAAGCCCTCCGGGGGCAGGGGCCCACCTCCAGCATCTGGCTGCCGTGGGCCTTGGGGAGCCACACATTTATCCGGACCGAACAGAATACACCTCCTGGCAGCGTGCTCCTTGACTCCTCAAACACGTCGTATGTAGCCAGCAAGGCAGACCTGCCAGAGTCCCGATGAAGAGGGCAGAGCCGAGCCTCCGGCCCCCACCCCTCCCCAGCGGCTTGCAAGCCTGAAGAGCATCTAGCTGATGAGGACTCAGAACCCGCAGGACTCTCGGGGGCGGCTCGGAGTCAGGATTGCTTTGAATCTTTCCAAACCCCAAGATGGCTGTGCTCTTGACTGTAAGACAAGTGGAATTTTGCTTTTAAAATGGGCAGGAGCATTGCCTTGCTGCCTCCAGCTGCAGGGGGGAGGCATCCAGCCCTCCCAAGAATTCCTCTCCCCACCCGGAGAAGCAGCGCCTTTATCACAAATGGATGTTGTCAAATGCTGTTTTTGCACCTTCTGAGGTGCTAGCATGGTGTTTTTTTTTTAACCTTTATTAATACCGTGTGTTACACTGACTTTTGGAGGTCAAACCAACCTTGTATTTCTAGATCCCACTGGGTCATGGTGTGTAATCCTTTCCATAGGTTGCTGGAGTCAGTCCGCTAATACTTCGTTGAGGACTTCTGCATCCGTGTTCATAAGGGAAGCTGGTCTGTAGCTTTCCTATGATACCTTTGACTTGGTGTCAGTCACTCCCAAAAGGAGAGCCGTGGAAAGCACATTTCTATAATGAGACCCCCACCCCCGCCCCCTTGGAATCTGAAATTGGAGCACGGAGATGCTCGCTAGCCTGCCAGATGCTCCGACTACAGTGACTCTACGGCTGCCCTCGTTGCATTGCTTCTCATTCCTCATCTCCCGGGAGTAAGTTCCCTGTGGTTCTCGGGCTCTGAAACGCACACGCCCACAGGGCCAGGCAGGTGAAATCAATGTGGATACAAGAGAAACCTGGACAGCATGGCCCCTCCAAAGCGACTCCGCTGTAGCTCATTGTTGCCTTGCGAGCCCATGGGCCAACATTGCGAGATAATTCAGTTTCTGAAAAGAAACTGGAAATCCAGGTCTTTTTCCTGACTGTCCAAATGATTCATTGGTAGCAACTAATTTTCATTTAATTTTTGAATACGTAAACACCAAAATATTGAAAAAAGTATACGAAAGAGAAAAGTCCACTTCTCACCCGAAACAGCTATTCACTGTTCTCAAAGTTCTGAGAATTTTCGTGTCTTTCTTTCACACACAGATGGTGGCACACATCGTGTACATTTTTATGCACTTTGGCTTTCTGACCTTGGGGATATTTCTATAATGATCCATAAAGAATTCCTAATCTATTTTTATAACTTCAGGGGACTCCATCTGTCCATGTATGCATGGGTAAGCTAGAACTCAACCAGTTCCATTTTTGGAGACTAAGGTTCTTTCCAATCTTTTGTTTTTTCAATGTGTGGCGAATAGTATTTTGCATTTATCATTTCTCTTGTGTGTACATTGGGAGGCTGGATCCCTAAGGGTAGAGTTACTAGGTTCAGGGGTATACACATTTCTATTGTTGATAGATACAGCTCCCCAGACCTCCATGAGAAAGGGTCCCCCTAACAATGTATGAAATTGAATGGGTTTTTTCTTTTTTTTTTTTTTTATCCTCACCCGAGGACATTTTTCCATTTTTATTCAGATACAGCGGGAGGGAGAGAGAGAGAGAAACATTGATGTAAAAGATCGAGTGGCTACCACCTGCACGACCCAACCAGGGCTGGAGGACAAACTGCAACCGAAGACAAACTACAACCGAAGTACATGCCCTTAGCGGGAACTGAACCCGGGTCTCTCTGGACTGCAGGCCGATGCTTTAATCACTGAGCCAAACCGGCCAGGGCATGGGTGTTTTCTTTTTAAAAATTTCACCAACAGTGTCTTCAAAAAACATTTCACTTTTGCCAGCCTGATAAAATAAAATAATTTCAATCTTCTTTCATACTTATTGGTATAGATTGTGGTTGACTAGCTTTTCAAATGTTTAAAAGTCATTTGCATTTTCTGTGAAATGCCTTTTGCCCATTTTTCTATTTTTTTTCTTTTATTTATCCGTAGGAGCTATTTATATATTAGGGAGATTATCCCTCTGTAATAGGAGCTGCAAATACATTTCCCCTGTTTGTCATTAGTCTTTTTGGTCATTTGTCTTTTGAATATGCTTAGGATTTTGTTGTTTGGTTTTGAGATTTTTTTTTTTTTGATTGAGTTTTCTGAGGTCTTTTTTGCCATGCAGAGGATTAATTATACATTATCAATTTTATCTAGCTTTTATGGCTTCTGCGTTTTGTATGATTCTGTAATGTTTCAGCATCCTTATAAATTAACTTTTAAGTGGGTAAAATGGGGGACATCTGTAATAGTGTCAACAATTAAAAAATTAATTTTTATACATTTAACTCCTCTTTAATCCATTTGGAATTTTGGAAGTGTTCCTGGTGTACAGAGTGAGGTATGGAACTCATTTTTTTTCCAGATGGTTACCCAGTTGTCGCAACATGAAAACAATTTAAAAACAGTTCGGGACAAACCACATATTTCTGTCAACCCAGGGCCACCGTCCTGGCACCTCTGGCTTGCGACATGAAGTTCACGTGCACGAGAGAAGGGGTGGCCAGCCGAGGAGCCTCGCTCTGATGAAGATGTGTAATAAATGGCCTTTCCCCGGGGCCCCTGCCCAACGACAGCCACACCAGAGATGGAAGGGCCCTTTCCCAGGCTGTGAAGGGACCCTGCCAGGGGCTCGGGCACCGGCTGAGTCGGTGTCCCGGCTTTCTCGTGCTGGACGGGAGCACGTCAGGCACTGGCCTTAAAGGGGAAGCCTGTTGGCTCACCTGGCACCAGGACAGGGCCTCCGGGACCCCAGCAGCTCAAAGGACCCAGGTCGGGAATACCTGGCAGGCGCTGTGACTGGCCTTCCCTCCCCCGGTGTCCCCCAGTGCCCCCGAGTTCATTGTTTGGCACCGCACTTCCCAGGGAACTTGGACGGGTCAATCTAGTTCTTTAGCCACCGTGTCCCATAGGTGTTCCCATGTGTCCTCACGGATGGGACCACAAAACCCGGGCAGACGAGTCGGACTCCTGGCAGCCCCCCTCCTGACTTTTCTTCCTCTGAATTCAGGGCTGTTCCTAAGTCTCTGCTGTGGAGGCTCGTGAATGCCACGGGCCGACTGAGAAGCAGCCACAGCCAGCCTGCCCGCCACCGCAGCCGGACACCCATCACTGGGTGCCCCGGCCAGGCCTGCGCCGGTGCGCACGCTGGCTCCTGGTTTCAGCCTCGCAACATCCTCTGCCGTTATCCTTACTGAGGAGGAGGCTGGGCTCAGAGAGGGTAAGCAACTAGCCCAGGGTCACACAGCCGAGGCACACAGGGGAGGACGGTGCCCCGGGCAGGCGGGCCTCAGCCTGTAAGCTCAGCAGGGTCCTGCGGTCTGTTTACGGCACTGAAATTGCCGTGGCTCGTTCCCACGACAGCGCCTTCCCCTGGCTCAGGCTCTGGCAGAGGGAAGAAGCCTGGGCCTCTCCAGCCATCAACACAGACTCAGCCTTCTGGGAACTGGCGTCCTCCCCCCTTGTCTGAAAAATGAACTTGTCACCGAATCTAGGCTCTCCTGGAGCAGCCTGGGACCCAGCGAGTACCTCGGCTTCCTTCATTAAAAACAGTCCCAATCAATACGACGCAGCCACGAGAATTAACGATCCGCAGCCACACAGGGACGCCTGCCACAGGCACAGTGTCGGGGAGCTAGACACCAAGGGGGCATCCTGTGCGTGCAGCCTCCGGTCCCTCCACCCACCGCGGACCAGCCTGCAGCACCCGCTGTACTAGAGTCGGGACGGCAGCACCTGGGAGGGAGCCTGCGGGTTCTGGGTGCTGACCATGCTGGTTTCTCCCTGGGGGAGGGGCAAACAGATGTGTTCAGTCCGACAGCTCATGAACCACACGCTTCGGCGCACCTCTCTGGGGGTCAGACTTCCGTAACTCCCAGGAATTTATAAACATTTTAAATAAAAAAGGATAAATGCTCACAAAAGTCATCTCCACAAAAAAATGTCAGCTCTTCTTGAAACAAGGGGGTCCACCTTTATCTTTTAATTCCAGAAATGACAATTTCCTTTTCTGCTATCTTGCCTGATTCACTCGGTTAGATTTCCAGCCCGGCGGGTGTGGCTCAGGGGTTGAGCGTGACCCATGCACCAAGAGGTCCTGGTTCAGTTCCCAGTGGGGGGCATGCAGGAGGCGGCCAGTCGATGTTCTCTCTCATCGACGTTTCTGTCTCTCCCTGTCTCCCTTCCTGTGTGTGTGTGTGTGTGTGTGTGTGTGTGTGTGCGTGTGTGCGCTCTCGGCTCCGTGAGGAATGCTGGAAAAACTAAAAGGCCCGTTACTAAAGTGTGGAGTGTGGACTTTCAGGATAAGCCGGAACCTCATCTGCATGAGAAGCAATGGAAGCAAACACCCCTGGGAAGCCCGGAGGTCCTGAGGCCTCTGTGTGTACCCCAGCAGGCGCAGGCCAGGGCCTTTGTCAGACTGCAGGGGCGGGTTTGCCAGGTGCCAGGAGTGACCTTGAAGGAAACATTTACACAGAGGAAAAAGGAACCAGTCACCCCCCACCCCCACCGGGTCCCACACCCAGACCACATGTGACCTCTTAACACCTTTATTGACATGATTCACGTGCCAATGGGCACGGGGGGTTCGCAGACAAACCAGCCAACAGTGATGGACCTAAACCACGGGCCGGGTGGCACCGAGTGAGCCCGGTCCCTGGAGCACAGCGCCCATGAGACCTGAGGCGCGCTCTGGGGGAGGTGCCTCCACCAGCTCCTCCCCGGGCTCCACCCCACAGGTTCCAACTGCGCCTCCACACCCGGCTCACGCGAGCAAGGCGGGATTCAGCAGCCACGTCGACGACAATAAACACAGAAGAGACCCCAGCTGCCCCGAACGCGGAGGCTCACGTCCCACATCCCCGGGGGCAGGCCCTCGGCGCTCACAGTCGGTGACGGCAGCCGGGGTCTGGGGCGCTGCCTCCCCGGCGCCCACAGGAAAATAGTCTTCAGTCCTGTACAGTGTGGGCAGCTGGAACGGCGGGGACACCGGCGAAGACGGTTTCTGGAATGAGAGAAAACGGGGTGCCCCATCAGCCATGTGACTGCACTTGTTTTGTGACCCAAGAATTGCAGTTGGAGGAATTCAGTCTGTAGGGAGAGTCGTGCATGTCACCGAAAAGTCCGGGACGCTCCGGAAGCCCTGCGGTGACAGCCGGGCCAGCCCACGGGGAGCCGGCCATCCCCGGGTCCCTGTCCTCCTCGGTGCCTGGGGCCTGGGCGCAGGGCCTGCCGCTGGGGGGCGGGGGCAGGCTGATCGAGGACCGGTCCGTGCTACCCGAAGTGTGTGTGTTACATGCACGGGGTGGCTGTGTTTTTTTAATTGAACCATTTTAAGAAGCGCTTACTCATTTCTGGTGTGCATTCTGTTGCAGGGAGGCTGGGAAGGGGGGCTCCATCAGGCACCCCTCCCCAAGCTCTGTCCAGTTGGCAGGACGCTCCAGGTTACATGTGCATCTGACGAAGGACGTCTACAGAGGGACACCTCGAACTGGGCTGCACAGGGGCGTCTCCTGGGGAGTCCGGAATGACTGTGCTCAGGCCCCACCCCGAGTCTGTGTCAATGGTCCGCGCTGTGGCCTGGGCCGGGTCACTTCGAGGCTCTGGGGCGGTTCCCATGAGAGCCAGGGCTGAGCCCAGTGAGTGGCCGCTCCAAGGAGAGAGGGTCTGCCAGGCTGTGGAGACGCTGCCCTGGAAGGAGCCAAGCGGAGGCCTGGGCAGGGCTTAGGGTGGGAACGGACGAGTCCAATGCCGGAGCCAGGCCCGGAGCCCCCCACCGAGCCCTCTCAGTTGCAGAAAGAAAGCAGCAGAGGATTTCCAACGAGGCAGAGCGAGGTCAGGTGTCGCGGGAGCACACCTCCCTGTGTGGTCACCCCAGCCCTGGACCAGCAGTGCACCCCAAGACCAGCAGTGCACCTTGGCCAAAGGCCAACCTCACGACAGGACAAACAGAACACTCCAGCCACTCCGTCCGGGCAGCCCGCCTGGGCTCTGCCCATTTAGGGGACACTTGGGACACAGGCCTTTGCCACCTGTCCCCCTTCTCCCAGCAGCTCCTGGGTGGCATCCCACCCCTGCAGATCGGACACCGTTCTCCGATAGCACCGTGACCAGGACACCCCAGGGACATGGCACGGCCGGGGAGCAGTGTGGGGATAGCCCAGAGCCTCAGAACACCCCACCCTGTCTCTCCTGAGGACCGGCCCGCTGGCCACTGTCACCGAGAAAACACACCATGCGAAGACCAGCGCCCTCGTCCTGACACGGTGGGAGCTGGAGAGCATTTTGTGACCCTGAAAAGACAGGCTTAGGACCATGGCAAGAGGGGGGCCTGTGAGGGTTCCCAAAGGCCAGTGACAGGCCAGGTCACAGCCAGTGTCCCGGCCTAGCTGCATGGCCCCTCCTGGGGCTGCTGGGCCTCATCCCGAACCCGTTTTGGGGGCATGGTTCTACCAACACGGAGGAAATCAATCTAATTATGAAGGAACCAAGACGAAGCAGTCAGAAGAGACTTTTAGCAGCTTTAGATGTAATGGTGTCTTTAGATCCAGCAAGATGTGATGCAAGAAATGGCGCCCCTCCCGAGGGAGACATGGGACACAGGGAAAGGGACGCGGAGGTGAGCCCCGCCAGAGGGCCCACGGACTGGTAGAGCTGCTGTGCACACGAGAAAAGGGAGCCCAGGAGCCCACAGCGGCTCCCGAGAACAAGCCGCAGCAAACAGGCTCGCCCACCCCCCAAGGGCCCGGCCTGGTGATAGGGCTGTGAAGGCTGGCAGCTCATCTCGGCCTGGACAAGCTCCTGCCACCTTGGGCCGCACGGAGACGTGTGGGACAGGGACTCGCTGGCAGAACTGGCCTGAAGTCCACCAGGGCCAGGTGGCCTGTGGTGAGCCAGGGGGCTTGGGATGGGGTCTCTTCAGCTCCCAAGGCCGCTCTAGAGAGGGGGGGGGCGTGGGGTGGGCGTGTGCTGTTCCTGCCCATCTGGCCTCCACGTCCCATTCTGATGTGGGCATCTTGCTTTTCCTGTGGGATGACCTGTGCCAGCCCCCCGCAGTGATTGGGCCAGGGGTGAGCACATGACCCAAGCTGGGCCAATGAGAAGCAGCTTTGGGACTTTTGCTAGTGGGACAGGGATGTCCCACCCAGGTTCCTGTGAGGATCGGCCAGGTGCCTGAGGGCCACTTCTGCCACCGCCCTGGGGGACCTGCCTGAGAAGGGCACCAACACAGGGAAGCACAGGGAGACGGAGCGAGACCCAGACCCGACAGGACCACTTGAGCACCTGAATCCAGTTGTGCCTGACGCTCGAGTTACCCTGGGGGTCTTCCTGAGCCGTGGGATTCTCCTTGACTAAGACCTGGGTGGCTGTTACTTGCAACCCAGAATCCTGTCGAAAACAAACGCTGACCTCAGAAGGGGGCCAGAGCACCTGGACGGCAGGTGAGGGCCCCTCTGCGGGGCTGAAAACTACCTGGCACCCCAGCTGCTGTGTGGAGAACAGAACCCCCAGGCCAGGCCCCAGCACGGGCACCTCAGATGCTACGGAAACCCAGCCCTGTCATGCCCATTTTCTTGATTTCCACAGCAACCTGCAATGGGTCACAGGTTTGACTCCCAGTCATGGGCACATACCTGGGTTACAGGTTTGGTCCCCAGCCTTGGTTGGGGTCTTGCGGGAGACAACCAATCAATGTGTCTCTCTCACATTAATGTCTCTCTCTCCCTCCCTCCCTTCCACTCTATCTAAAAATAAAAAAGGAAAAATATGCTTGGGTGAGGCTTAACAAAAAGTAAATAAATTAATATAAAATGTCTGGTACCCTGGATACAATCCTGCAATAGGAAAGGTTGGGGGAACTAGTTAAATCTAGATCCACGTGGAGTTACTGAACAGCAGTACATCAATGTGTACAATGCACAGTACACTCAGGTTGTGACGGGGAAACTGGGGGAGGGGCATGTGGAAACTCTGTATAACTACTGGGCTCTAATTCTACGATAAAAACACTGACTGGGGGAGCAAACTGAAGCAGCAGCTCTGGCTGTCTGCACAGACCAAGCCCTTGGCCCCCCTCAGTTCATCCAGTGGCAGCGAGGAGGGAGCACCCCCTGGGCGCCCAGCCCATGGCTGCAGGTCCACGGCCCAGTCATCCTCACAGCCACTGAGACATAATCCCATTTTGCAGAAGAGGAAACTGAGGCTCAGAGAGCCACTTGCCCAAGATCGCCCAGCTGGTAAGCGGCAGAGCTGAATTCAAACCCAGGCCCACCCTGCTCCAGGATCTACGCTGCCCCTGAGCTTGTCCAGAAGCCGGGGTGTCCCTTCAGCCTCTGTTTTCCAACCTGGGACCCTGAGGGGACCCCTCCCAGCGTCCTCAGAGATCACAAACGGGTGGCCTCGGGCTGGCACCTGGCCCACAGACCTGATGGGTTTGACTCAGGCAGGTTTAAAACTGAGTTCGCTGCCAACATGGACGAAGCGGGGTGTTCCGAATAAAGACCGAGCTCCCATGGCTCTTGAACAACAGGGCGATCTGGCCACACCGGCCCACATTCCTGCGGGGTGCAGTGAGCTGGCCCCTCAGACAGGGCATGTGCTGTCCGGTTCGCCGTCCCGCTGGCCTGACTCACTGGTCCGCACGAGCTGCAGGCCTCTGAGTTGGCAGTGGCCGCAGGCTCCGGTCACATGGCCCAGACAAGTCTCCATGGGCTGCCGAGGAGCTGGAGGGGAAGCCCTGCTTCCAGCCCTTGCCCGGCCCCACGCCGGCCTGCCCTGGGGCCAGCTGCCTTCCCCCCACGCTCTGCCTTCCCCCCACGCTCTGCCTTCCCCCCACGCTCTGCCTTCCCCCCACGCTGCTGCCTTCCCCCCACACTCTGCCTTCCCCCCACGCTCTGCCTTCCCCCCACGACCGTCTCCTCTGGTGCTCGCAAGAGGCAGGTTCTGCAACGGTGCCGTTTTATGGGGGAGAAAGCAGGTTCAGAGAGGGCAGGGTAGGCTGTGCCCAGGGCCACACAGCTGGAAAGTCAGAGCTGGGACTCACAAGGGCTCTTCTGAGCCCCTGGCCCGACTCTGCCCCTGGTGCCACCTCCCTCCTCAGTCCTGCCTCTGGGCTTCCTGCAGCTCCTACCGTGCCGGCTGCCTTGCCCGGGGCTGCTCCTCTTCCAGATGCTCTGACAGCTGTCAGCAGCCCCTGCACGTCCCATCCTGCCAGAAGGACTGGGCTGGCCAGACCACAGTGCCCGCACACGTCACACAGACAAACCCCCTGCCCGCAGAACCCTCCTGCCAGCCTGGCTCCCGCCGCCCTCTACCAGCCTGGTGGCCGCAGCAGCGGGGATCTGTGGGGGCCTGAGGCCCGGGAGACAGAGGCACAGGGCTGGGCTCCTGGAGTGGGAAGCCCTTGCTCAGGGGGTGGCCAGCAGCAGGGACAAACCGGAGCAATCTGGTTACGGGCGATGCTGACCCGGAGCAGCTCTAGGTTCCTGGATCCCCGCGGATTCTGTTGAGCCGGAGGAAAGGCGTTAACATGGAAACCAGCAGAGGAGGAGCCCTCAGAAGTTCTGCAAGACACTGGCTACTGCGTTCAAACTGACACACCCCAGGGAGGAGAGAGGGGCAGCCAGGTGGGGTGAGTGAAGCCAGGCCCCTCTGCACTTGGTCTCTCTGGGGCCTCAGCCCCTCCTCCTCCAGCTGCGCTGCTCCCCGCCCCACCTCCTGGAGGGGGTCTGACTCCCCTCCTCAGGTCCATGCTGGAGTCAACCTGTGCGAACACCAAGCCCTGGGCTTCCTTCTCATCACGTAGCCACTGGCCGCAATGGTCTGACTATAGACAAGATAGAAACATAGTTACAGGAATAGTTTTAATTGAGCACTTGCTACATTCCAGAGACCCAAGTCGGCACCGGTATCCCGAGCCCTCGCACACACCGGAGGCATTCAGGAGTCAGCTGACTCACTGTGGGCCCACCTGCTAACCAGAACCTCTTTCCACCCAGGTGGTCT